AGGGAGTTATGAGCGGTTGAATATGTGAAATTATCAAAATTACGACGGGTATAATTCGTTGCAAGGCAGCCTGAAAGCAAGTAACTACAGCGATTATGATTATTCTAAGTACAAGGAAGAGATACATTTGTAGAAAATCTACCCTGTTCTCACGAGTACAGGACGCAGCTGTTTTATCTAAATCGACCAGCCGAACACAACAAACATCTTGCGATCAAATGACCCTATACAGTGCTGCGTATTGCCTGAGAGTATCGTGCGGCGTAAGCTTCGTCTTCCGAAACACAACGAGGCGGCTGAGCGCTCGCTCAAAGAATCGGAAACAGTGCGTCTTGTTTTTAAAAGGTAATCGGAAACGGTGCGTCTTGTTTTCAAATGGTAAAGGTAAATGAGTGTTTTTGAGACGTATTTGATGGAGTGCGCGCTACAGAATACATAGCTCATCCACAGTCAATCCATGTGGCCATTAATTTGGAACCCTGTCTAAGACACTGCCCAAGCGGCAGCGTAGGTAATTCACTAACGGCAGGGATATTCGCCTCCAAATTGACCCCAGGAATCGTGCATGAATTCATGGCGCGACACATCAGCTTCGCACGGGTCCTCGCGCGAAGACATGCAAACATGATGCAAGTCGTCCGATAATACGATCCTGGGGTCCAGTTAGGAAGCGTTTATCCCAACCGTTAGTGAGTCATTTGCGCTGCCGCATGAGCCATGCCTTCAAGGGAAAGATACTTGGTGTCCGTGGCCTTTCTAGGTGAATCGTGTACCATTGCACATGTCCTGGAACGCTGATAGCAAATCTGACTTTCGTTTTGCTAATCGTTTCTTTAGAAGAAGTTATGAAGGATTTTCGCATCAATTGACCGCTTTAGAAAAATAAATCGGAGATGCCTTATTTTCAGAAAGAAGTTTAATTGAGGGAATGCAAAAGTGAGAAACACAAAAGGTCTAGAACCTAAACCTGCATTAACTTGAGAGGCCATCGCACTTCGCTACACCACATCCTCAGATAATCGCCGGGGGCAGGCGGCCATGTGATTTATGGGCGGGCGGGCACCGGAAAAATAGTCCGCTGATTTCTTGCGGTCTGCTTGCGATATTTGGAATATTTAGCGAAATTTAAGACAAATGCTTGAAGAACAATCTCGGTTTCCTTGTAGAATAGCTGCGGCGCAGTGGCCGCATTCTCGCGGACTTTCCGCGAGAATATGCAAAATTTTTGAGGGCCTGAAAGTTCGGCCAGCGTTTGCTGAAAGAGATTATTTGACGAGCGCCTGCAGAAAATTTTGTGTTGCTGCACGCTGGCAGAGTATGCGACCGTAAAGGAAGTACCACTCGCCGAAGGTTTGGCCACGCCCCAAAATTTTGCTGTCCGCTTGCAGAAAAGCGCGAGTTTGCTGACCGCCTGCCCCCGGCGATTATCTGAGTCTTAGCAGCGGTTTTGGCATTGCGACCATCTCCCTTGGTCCTAAAATCTTTCGTAACTTTTGTCAGAGTAACGATTAGCAAAAACGGAGGTCATAAACGGAAACGGAAATCAGCGCTACAAGACGAATGTAATATTATACATCTCCTCTCAAAAGGCCACGGACACTAAGTACGTCTCCTTGTTAGCTAGAAATCCAAAATTACTTTCCACGTAGAATTCCCATAGGTCTAAATTTGCCTGGACGCGCCTCTAAGGAAACATACAAAATAAGGAAAGGCTAGCTTGTACAAGCAATGCGCTGTCACTCTTATGTTAAAAACGCCGTCCACTCAAGACGTGGTCTATAAGATTTCGAAGTTCGACTGTTGCGGGGCCCTCAACTGTATAACCTACTAGCTGGCTTACCCGGCTCCGCCGTATCCGGACCAAACTTGGCACACATACACTTCGGGCCCCGGCGGGCGTCACAGTCCACTTTTCGTTATCGATCGATGTCGATTTTACCGATTTTTATCGATTTTTTTGCAGAGTTCACCTACAGGGCTAGGGTTTGGCACAGGGGGGGAAGTGAGCATGGGGATTCCGAATACAATATTAGTTTTCAGAATTATCGATTACTTTTATTGGTTTTATCGATTTTTTGTAAATTTTGACATGCGAGGCTGGGATTTTGCACAGGGGGTAATCGGGCATGCTGATTACGAACACAATAATAGTTTTCGGGATCGTCCATTACTTTTATCGATTTTATCGATTTTTTTGTAAAGTTTGACCTGCGGGGCTGGGAGTTTGCACAGGGGGTAATCGAGCATGCAGATTACGAATACAAGCAAAAAAATCGATAAAAATCGATAAAATAGATATCGATCGATGACGAAAAGTAGCCTACGACACCCGCCGGGGCCCGAAGTGTATGTGTGCCAAGTTTGGTCCGGATCGGTTCAGAAATGGAATTTTCTATTCGGAACATACGTACAGACAGACATACAGACAGACAGACAGACAGACAGACATACATACATACAAACAGACATTCAGCTTTATATATAAGATGACCGGCCAACTCGCCTGTCTGAAGTTGTTTTCAAAGCAAAAAAAGAGCTTCGAAAATCCTTTGGAAAGTGAATTCGCCACGTTTGCTCCTCCCCATGGAGTGAGCGGTACGCGCCCCGCCCACTCAGTGATTTCATCTAGCACACGCAAACAAAAAATTGACTGATTCATGCAAAAGTGCCCATATGGCACAACGTTCCTCTGCGTCTCTGCCCTGCGATGAGCCTGCAGCTGGCCCGCGGCTGACCGGCAGACGCAAGGATTCTCTCCACTACGGATTCTGAAGGGCATTCACTTGCTGGTTTGAGATTTGTTCAATTTTAGGCCTGGTTTCGGACTCGGTGTGCGCAAGAGGTGTGAAAAAGGAAAAAAACGCAAACTTGGGTAGACGGTGCCTTTGAGTATAGAATAGTAGAGATTTCAAGAGATGAGTACCTCTCTCACACTCTCCTCCCGGTAGGAAGGTTCTTGCATATGGTTTTTCTATAAACTCTTTCGTCTAAAATAACTAAGACTTTGGTAAACAGTACACCGACCCCTTTAGGCGAATTTTCGATCACTCCATGTTTGTCAATATTCAACCAAGAATCGAGCGATTGAGGGTGAGAAGTGAGAAATCGATTGGTGGGAACTCCTATTGAAATATGTCCATGTAGATTATCCGCCTTGATTATTGATCACCTGATTTGTAAGATTTGTCTTTAGTGTACGAACTACGATCAGTTCAAAATTCGCTTTCTAAAGGGTCAGGATATATGACCCTGCCCATTCATAATGATGAGGTGTGTATTGGTAAATGCGCCTTTTGTTCCTAGTTCAAACAATTTTTTATACCTGCAAAACGATAACCTGTATAAAGTTTTGAGTATTCTTCCAAAAATAAATTGCACTATTGTAGAGAATCAAAACATTAGAACAAATTTCTCTTGTTTTTATTTCTTTCTGAAATCCATGGTATCCTGTTTAGAGTTTCTTTACTAGTATCAGCGGTAAACTAGACCAAAAGTGGTAGATCAAACTTTTCCATATTTACACGATAAACTTACAAGGAAAGCGTGTATAGTCAAAGTGGCTTTTCCGATGAGACCCATACTGCTTTGGAGGGCATTGCAAAGCGATTCTAAACCTGCCTTCTTTATCTGCCAAGCGCCTCTGAACGCCGAGTTATGGGCGTTTTTCGGGTCGGAAAACTGAACGCAAAACTGGAGCAAAATCGCCCAAATTTGCTCAAATTGTTCTGTGTCGAGTATCGGAGCAGTTCAGGCAATGGATACATTTTGTCTAATATCCTAATGCCTGTTTTTATCTCATTTTCCGTCTAAAAAACGGTCATAACTCGGTGTCCAAAGGGCTTGACAGAGAGTGGAGTCAGATTTGGAATCAGCGTTTGATGCTCTACAAAGTGGTATCAGTCTCATTTGGAAACGCCACTTCGACTAAACACGCTTCCCTTGATTTGGAATAGCGTTTCGAGAGGCATCTTATGTTATTGTGCCTTACGGTATCTCACCTTACACATTTTTATGGCATTATCTTGTACCTTGCACATCTCCAAAATTCCCGATCCTTCTCTCGGTGCTGAGGAAGAGTTTCCAGAAGTTTTAGGCTCGATAACATGTAGAAGTTATCGCAATACTCATTAAGACTCTCTATACGCAGTGCTCCGCTTGATAAGAATTTGGTTTACTCTATAAAGCTAGAATCAACACTACAATGTCTTCCATACAACATTCAAACACTCGAGCAAATGAACCTTATCCTAGGTAGCTTGAGGGGCAAATTTTCAAATATACATGCAAATCAATCCTTTATCGTACAATACCTCTCTTATTTTTTGAAAAAAAAACGAGCACAGTCGTCCGATTCTGTGAAATCACCGTGGCGGGGCCATATCTCGCTTCAGAATGGACGTATTCTTAATCCAAGGGCACCATTTGACTCAGCTTAGCGCATTGCATCTTCTGATATATAGTGGTGCGTGTTTGAACACAGTAGGAGGCAGCCACGAATCGTTTCAGATTTGTGCTTACGGTAGGTGCCCAGTAAGTGCAATGAATAAGCACAATGAGTAACCTACCGTAAGCAAAAATCTGGAACGATCCGTGGAATCTGGCCTCCTACTGTGTTCAAGCGGCACTTTTATATACCAGAAGATGTGCCGCGCTAAGCTGAATGAAATAGTGCCCTTGGTTCAGAAATATGTTTACTTCGCAGTGAGAAATGGCCACGCTACGGTGAGTCACATGAATCGGATAACTGTGCTCGTTTTCCAGAAAATACGAGCGTTATTGTAGACTACCGCATCTCAATGATATACCATCATTACGGCATACAATATGTTGTAATGGGCGCATAAAATGAGCTCTGTTCAGTAGGCTTTGTAAACTTGACTTTCTACCATAATTCCATCGTACTGATTTCCAGAGCTAGTCAAACAAAGCCTTTGAATTTGGATATTGTCCACTCTCTTAGGCAAGATATGTCGATGCTGCGCTAATATCATCTAATTCAGGTGACCATCATTCGATTCGGATGACCGCCACTCCCACCCTTTGCTGAATCTTCACCCGAGTCTAATAACCAATAATACAGTTTTCTTTCAGTTAGGGGAGGTATTGTAATTCGAGCCATTTGTTTTTTCGTGCTTGCCTAGACTGAAGCCCTCAAAGTCAACAAAAAACAACTTTCTTTCCACCTGTGTCATATACAAAACAACATGGTGTTTACGTGGCTCGCTGCAGAAAAAATAATCAAGCATTTCCAATTAAAGAACTCAAAAAAGAAAAAGGGCAGTCCTGGTGGAGGCTATGCTCAACGATGTGCGTAGAAGGAAAGAGACCTGCTTTCTTCCACGTAGTAATAAACTGGTTCATAGAGTTTGCAAGATCTATGCTATTGACATGAACATATTTATTCTTCTTCTTCCACTAATGAAACTGGTAAATGAAAGCAAAATTGTTTTTGTTGATGCGATTTACCTTAGGTTACTGAAGCACGAGGAAGCAAAAACCGCTTTAAAATTTGAATCGCGTGTATAGACGCCAAAAGAATGCACTTGATACTTCAGTCAACACTTAAATTTGTTGCAATAGTCCCAACTAACGTGTCCCAAAATGCTGTTATGTTTTGCATAGCCTTAATTGAAATTTATTCAGATATGGAATAATTACATCGCTAATTTACCAGAAGGTAAATTAAAAAATCTAATCGACGCCGCAGGAGAAAAGTTGCGGGAATTCGGTATTGTCCTAGTTCGTCAGAGAGGATGGTGATGTATGTATTTGTATGTATACGAATGTTGCTTTTGTAACGGATGTAAAGTATTTAATGTGATGTTGCAGTAATGTTACCCGTGTTGAGCAAAAAAAAACTGTCTTGCATTGACTGTCATACTATGTTTCAGACCGAATTGTATAGATATTTGGGTAGTCAAACGAAATGAATTTATTCTTTCATTTACCAAAAAACAATATCGTTCGATTCTTGGGTGATTCAAGCGGTTCTAATTGTAACAATTTAATAATTTGAAGGAGGCTTTCGAACATTTTGCATCACTTGGCAGCTTTCGCCAAGTATTCCGCTTTTCGGCTATCATCATATGCTTATATATTTGCTCTGTATCAATTTCAACAACTCACTCGATTTGTCGCATATAACCTTGAATTTGTGAATCAGTCGTTTAGGTCATTCGATAACGTTCGACATTTCAGGATTTCGAATTTATTTGTTAACTCCTCGCTATATTTAGGTTGGAAGAGCTGCTTATTCGACCATCTCAACTCTACAATGCATGCCGTTTATTCATTTTTTTGAAAAAATGCAATACCAGTGCTTAATACAGAAAGGTTTGCATAACAGGTGAAAGCCAGGGCCCAGCACGTGTCGGTTTCTAGAGTCCCTGAAGGCGAAGTCGCACTGACTATCAAATATTTTACCAAATCCCCTACCCTAATCGTAAACCTCTTAAGTGGACATGAAAACAAAAAAGGGTAATTTAGTCATAGTGTGGAAGAAAAAACGCGAAATAAGAGTGAAATTACAGCTGAATGCTACGCATGCACGAGAGCTTGTCATTGAAGCGCAAATTATAACAAAATCAAGGCAAAAAGAAAGAAATGCAGCGGTATGAAAATGTCTTCGTGCTTAGAGACAGACTCTTGACCGGGGGATCCATCTATGATAGAAAAATTCAAACTTATGTGAACGTACAAAAACATATACTTCACACGACCTCAGATTGATGGTCATCTGGTAACGGACTATTTGAGAAAATCATTTACCATAAGTTTTCAAAACTTTTGCAATTCTTGTGTAAATAACTAGTGAACCAGTAATTGAAGGTGCTAGCAGCATGCGCGCGCTTCGGGACCGCTACGCGGTTTCCCGCTATTTGCACATCTTTGAACTGCGCTTACGTTTCTTTATATATTAGATGTTATATGTCTAGAGTCCAAATTTGGTGTCATATGCTTGTCTGTACGCTGTAAACAAGCATTTTGATTTTGGCTTGGTTCAAATCGTGCGCGCATTTCGCAAGACACGATGAAGCATGTCGATCGTTTAATAACCTCTTTAAAGCTTGTGCTTGACTGAGTGGTCATTCATGGCATTACAGGAAGTGTGTTGAATTGTCTTGCACACCGTTTGTGCAGTTTTCCCCCACATACTCCGCTAGTGATGCACGTACACAATTATTTCCGGACCCCGCAAAAACAGAATCCCCCTTAGTTCTGTCCCAAAAACGTAGTCCAGCCTGCTTTCATTCAGTGTGTGGCCCTGGTGAAGGCATCAAATCACTGCGCACGACCTTTTGCCACATAGCTGTAAGATTTTCAATCTCTATTTCTCAAAGCGGTCGGATTTCAGAAAACTCATTCGACCAACACTTAGGCTTTGAGCATCTTGCCACAAATCAACCACTCGTAAAAAAATAAGGGTAAAACTAAAGATGCTACGAACTTATGAAACGACCTGATAATTGTCAACAATCGCGGTGATTACAGTAGAAAAGTATTCAGGTTTAGCCCTACGCCATTATGCTGCTATCCTAGGCTCAGCGCCACGAGATTCGACCGAAACAAAATTGTTGCTAATTTTGTGCACGTCCGATGTCTTTGTCTGGTGATTGTGCTGATAGTTTGCGCGAGCTGACCTTTTTTTGTTGAAGCATAGTACTTCAGCAGTAGTACCTACAATTTATGCAAATCTAACGATGAGTCGCTTGTGCTGCACCAGCAATGGTGATCGATGGTTTTGCAATATCGTTTGCTGTTGCTTTGTGAATGCCAAAATGTTTGGGTTCTTTATTTTGCACGTACGTAGAAGTCATCCGAATTAGTTGAACAGGATGGTTTTCTTTTGTACTTTTCATATGTTTGTCGAGTGGCACAGTTCTCTGAATCAACGTAAACTTTTGCAGATTTTCTGTTGAAGAAAGTTTCAATTGTAATTTACACCGAAAAGAAGACGATTTTGTAAACTGGTGACTTTGCCTGCTCGAAATTCCTGAGCTTTCAAGGAATCCAAAAATATATGGAAAAGTTCTTTGTTGCCGAGCATAGTTAATCATGATTGACATTGTTAGCTAATAGTGTGAAGAATTAAACCAAATGCCTACTATCCATTCCTTCACCTATGTAGTCGGTCTCATACACTGTCAGAGCATATTAGAGACAGGAGAACGAAGTCCAGACTAATAGGGGAAGCGACATTGGTCGAAGTGGTGCGTTTCCATATGAAATGAATACCATCTCATAGGGCATGGAATGCTGATTCCAAATCTGCTTTTGATATTTGCAAAGCGATTCTGAAAGGAAAGTTACAGAAATTTTTATTAGCAAATTGATTTTAGAACTGTAGCCCGCAAGCTCAAATGGGCCATGTTTACTCTTAGGGCGCTTTATGCAGTTGTTGACACTTACTGTAACTTAGTGTAATAAACATATGCTATTCATTGCTACTTCGCGCAAAACAGACCTTTCAACACTTTTTATTAGTTGGAAACTAAGTTTTTGCAAGTACTTTCATAACTTCATTCTCATCAACGGATGTTTCATCAGCCTTGCGTATTTCGAGTTCTTGAGGGTGCTAGATCTCGACTTGTCTTTCAATTCTACTGGTTTCCTACTATGCCAAATGAGTCAACCTCAAGCAATAATTCACATACAGTTTCGGATCATTATGCATGATGTGAGTAGCGAACGCTTCATTTTTGCTCATAAACTCATAAATCCTCGGAATTTACTGTTTTTTGAAAAAATGCTTGTAATTTTTGAATTCATTTTCAAAAATCAAACAGTTTGTGCGCAATTGTAGCACACAGAGATCTGCGTATAGCTAAACTTTGAGTGCACCATGTTCGAAGAGAATGAAGTTATGAAAGTACTTGCAAAAACTTAGTTTCCAACTAATAAAAAGTGTTGAAAGGTCTGTTTTGCGCGAAGTAGCAATGAATAGCATATGTTTATTACACTAAGTTACAGTAAGTGTCAACAACTGCATAAAGCGCCCTAAGAGTAAACATGGCCCATTTGAGCTGCGGGCTACAGTTCTAAAATCAATTTGCTAATAAAAATTTCTGTAACTTTCCTTTCAGAATCGCTTTGCAAATATCAAAAGCAGATTTGGAATCAGCATTCCATGCCCTATGAGATGGTATTCATTTCATATGGAAACGCACCACTTCGACCAATGTCGCTTCCCCTATTAGTCTGGACTTCGTTCTCCTGTCTCTAATATGCTCTGACAGTGTATGAGACCGACTACATAGGTGAAGGAATGGATAGTAGGCATTTGGTTTAATTCTTCACACTATTAGCTAACAATGTCAATCATGATTAACTATGCTCGGCAACAAAGAACTTTTCCATATATTTTTGGATTCCTTGAAAGCTCAGGAATTTCGAGCAGGCAAAGTCACCAGTTTACAAAATCGTCTTCTTTTCGGTGTAAATTACAATTGAAACTTTCTTCAACAGAAAATCTGCAAAAGTTTACGTTGATTCAGAGAACTGTGCCACTCGACAAACATATGAAAAGTACAAAAGAAAACCATCCTGTTCAACTAATTCGGATGACTTCTACGTACGTGCAAAATAAAGAACCCAAACATTTTGGCATTCACAAAGCAACAGCAAACGATATTGCAAAACCATCGATCACCATTGCTGGTGCAGCACAAGCGACTCATCGTTAGATTTGCATAAATTGTAGGTACTACTGCTGAAGTACTATGCTTCAACAAAAAAAGGTCAGCTCGCGCAAACTATCAGCACAATCACCAGACAAAGACATCGGACGTGCACAAAATTAGCAACAATTTTGTTTCGGTCGAATCTCGTGGCGCTGAGCCTAGGATAGCAGCATAATGGCGTAGGGCTAAACCTGAATACTTTTCTACTGTAATCACCGCGATTGTTGACAATTATCAGGTCGTTTCATAAGTTCGTAGCATCTTTAGTTTTACCCTTATTTTTTTACGAGTGGTTGATTTGTGGCAAGATGCTCAAAGCCTAAGTGTTGGTCGAATGAGTTTTCTGAAATCCGACCGCTTTGAGAAATAGAGATTGAAAATCTTACAGCTATGTGGCAAAAGGTCGTGCGCAGTGATTTGATGCCTTCACCAGGGCCACACACTGAATGAAAGCAGGCTGGACTACGTTTT